CTTGAGGTTGCGATCTCAAGCTTCCAAAGCCCTTCGATTGAAGAGAAATGAGCGGTTTCTGAGCACCGGCACAATCAGGCGCAAAATGCCGCCATCCTTTTACCCCTGTAGGAGTTGACCTTCATTTTCAGACAAAAAGCTATCCAAAGACCAATTTTTGCTATTCTACTCTGAGAGAATTAATTTGTGGAATGAGCTTCAATCTCAATGAAACAAGTAGACAAAACCTACAGTAAAAACGGTGTGCTACAAATGTTCATAATTGCGTACAGCGTGTCCTAGTTACGGTACGTTGTAGACATTGTAGTCCGGATTGTTTGCGATCCATATGAAAGTATTAATAGAAGTCCCCTGTAATGAACTTCGACCCTCATGATTCGCCTCAGCAACCTCCATACTGCTCAATGTAATGTACTGTGACTTTCATCCTCCTCGTCTTCCACTGAATAACAAACGTTGCTGATGCGAAGCATGAGAGTCAAAGTTCATTAGAGAGGGCTCATTACATATCGCAAACAACCTGTAACATCTCGTCCATTTCCCAAGTTGCCTTTTCCTTTTTCTGAATGAATCTGACGCTGTTTCCTGCGAAGAATGATCATGAGATCTACCATAAGAAATCAAAATGCAAGCTTGGATCTCTACAGTGATTCCAGATAATTCAGCTTCTAATTCCCATTTCTACTGCTTTGACACGAGATGTACTCCAGCAAAAACTGCTTGAATTTGATCGTGCTGGCTACAATGCTATGACAACGTGGCCCTAACACAATCTCGTGACACAATCTATCATGATCTAGTCGAACTCATTCCTGCAGCAATACAATTCCTTTCAAATCCTACTAATGAACGAATTTCCGAGGAATTCCACGTACTGCTCATTTTTTGCGTAATATTTGGTAAAATAGCCTTTTATCGCTCACATTTCAGCGCTGACGAAAGCTCTGAACAGATACTGAGTGAAAAAGCTGCTTCCGAAAGGAAGAAGGGGGAAGTCGATGTTTTCTTCAGTTGTTTTGGTTTTCTCAATTCGGCTTAAATCCCATTTGAGATGCAGTCGTGCTCCAGTTTACGGATGTATTGTGTTTAGCGTTGGCGAAATGATAATTTGTTGCTTTTACGTCACATCCTTTATAGTTTTTTATTTTCGTATTTTTTCACGCATACAGAGGGGGAGGGGAGCAAAAAAAAACAGAGTTACTTCCCTCCACATCCAAGACGGTTTTGAGTACACGTTACCGAACCCAAACCGATTGGGCCCAATTGAAAGTTGCGCCACGACAGCGGGATTCATTGGTGCGCTTAGGCAGTTCCAGCCCGCAGAGGTATAATGCGGTGCCAGTTGTGGATTGCGCTACCTCGTCAACTGCTCTAAGCCCTAACCGTGTTGCAGATATGGCTTTTCAGTTGAGATAGCCATTCGAGAAGAAACTCGAGTGTTCTCTGCTCCCTTCGAACGCGAATTTTCCTAAGCACAGAACACTCAGGCTCTCCTCCAACATGCTGCAGAAGCACCCAAGATAAGAGCCAAAGGAGAGGTGCAAAAGTACGCTATCAGAGAGATATCGAGATTGCGGGGAAATGCTATTCACGTGAACCATCGGTCGATGGTGCGATGGGGATCACCCCGTTTCCGAACAAAAACTGATAGCAATTTATCACAACACCAAAGTACTCCTACAGATTCAAATTCCAAGGATGTGGCCAAAAATCGGAATAAATCATTCGAACCTAAAAATCAAATATATCGAAGAGCGAAACCAATATTTGCAATATTACCACTAGGGATGTGAACGCAAGCTACGATGGTTCTTCAATCAAGCAAGATTTAGGAAGCGCTCGCAAGGAGCTTTCGTAAAGAAGTTTCCACGCTGCCCGCGACTTTTTGCGATTCTTTAACGATGTAGGGATTCTGCCGAATTTTGAGGTGACATGAAAATGCGCTACGGAACCGGTTAATCAGGAAATTACCAGACAAATGGCTTTATCCAAGTTATGTCAATTTTGTGGTTGGATCACCAGTTGCGATGGCAGGAAATCCAGAAATCTTGAGCTCGAGTCATTTAATCGAAGCTCGCTGCAGTTCCAGGGTTTATCGATTCGTCAGGGTGGTGGGTCGGGCTGGGTCTATGCTTATTATAATCGTTGGCCAGAAAATGTAACAAACGATTTCTCTGTGCGCCAATGACATCAGAACGAAAATCATCCATGTAGGTAGCCAAGCCAAGTTATTCAACAAAAACCCTTGAACACTACTGAGGAGCTCGGTACGCGAGAGATGAAATGAAGTCGGAGAATTTCATGAAACCGAACAAAAGCATGCTGATGAAATTGAAGCATGCCAGGAAAAGTCCAAAGAGAAAGAAAAGGTACTATTTCGTCTCAAGCTTCGGCAGCCTTCGCTTACTTTTTACCACATTTTAGTGGATTCTTCTTGAAATCAGAAGTGTGCCGTACTGGGCCAGAAAAAAGCTGGGAACCAGATGTCACATTCGATCATTATCGAGGGCAGCACATCTGCCAGACGTCAAATCTTATTTATGTCCATTTTTTGAACTTCACACGACCCAATTCTTAGAAAGCCTCGCGAAGCTGACCTCACCCCCCCCCCCCCCCCCCCACACCGAAGGTGGCACCACTCACCAAATACCATTTTCCTTGTAGCAATCCTCCCAATCCTCCCTCACCACTCTCACCACCATGGCACCATAACACCATGGCTGTTCCTATGGCACATGATTCTGACCCCAGTCGACACAATCTCCAAAAACAACTCGTTCCACCCTCCACCACAACATGAGCCCACAGCTTTTACCCTCCGACCCTCCACAAATTCCCAAATACGACCCCCTAGTTGAACTTGTTTCAACAGGCAGTCGATCTTATTACCAGCCGGCAACTCAAACCCTCACCTGAAAGCATCACTAATCTCAACGAGACTGCTGAACAATAAGAATCATAAGAAGTCGAATAAGAATTGAATGGTGCTTTTGCTATGCTATGCTCTTCTCGACCTTCTTCTGATCGTTGAAATTCCTCGCTTTAAGATCAAGACATTACGTAAATCGAGAGAAAATTTCCTTTTTAATTTACAATCGAGAAAAACAATGTTTTTTCGGCACTAATCACCAAAGTCTTATACTGTCGATAATCCAGTCCATGATTACAACCGCGTGAACGTCAAGTGTTTATTATTTACACCACATCAATAAATAAAATATTCTTGGAGAAATTCGAAAACAATCACAAACAACAGCACACAAAGGAAACATCCTCTGCCAGGAATTCTCTCCGAGGATAATTATTATAACAAGTAAGTGAAGACTGAACCCTATAATGGAAAAAGTGTTCCAAAAGTTACAACAAGCTTAATCGCGGAACATAGTCACAAGTATCAATAACACTAAATTGTTTCTGCTTCAACAGGTAGCAAATGTTTGACGCAAAACACTTCCGCCCTTTCCTCTAACACAAAATCAGTGATAAAATGACGGAGATGGAGAGCACAGAGCTTCTATTTAGAATGGCGTGAAACTCAAGGAGAGAAGAACCTCACTGAGCTTGCAGCCTTCAGCAAGGACTTGGACAAATAACTGTTTGGATTCTTCGAAGACATGCCCCGTGATAGCAAAAGCAGGAATACGGTACCAATACGATGCGGTGGGTGCTAGTTAACCAAAGAAAGACAAAATTGTTGGAAACACTTTTCGAGACCGCCTGGGGCGAAAGTTTTGTTCACAACCCAGCATTCTTGTGAAACATTCGCAAGGCGAACTGCGGCCAAAACAGCAGTTAACAAACAAAAACAAGTCAAAATTATTAAATTTTTTTTCTGTTTGTAACCATGAAAAGCTGAGTTGGAATGAAATGGTGCCCCGGTAGCGTAACTGGTAGCGCACTTGCCCGGAAAGCGAGAGGTGCGGGTTCTAGTCCCGCCTGGGGCGAAAGTTTTGTTCACAACCCAGCATTCTTGTGAAACTTCATCAGTATTCTTCCTCTGTCACTGATTGGGATTCAGCGATATAGACAAAGATAGTCTTGCAAATACTGCGTGTCGAGGCGAGAGCACAGACGAGCGTGGCGAGAGGGTACAGCAGGCGAGCGAGACGCAGACAATAACAGGCATTCGCAACGGTGGGCGTGCTCAGGCCATGTATATTGGGTATGCTTTGATGCAAATCCTAAGCACCTAGTATCCTTGCCATGCGTTTTGGATCGCGAACGTGGTACTTACTTTCACACTGGGAGACTCAAGAGCTTTGTTCGCGGAAGAAATTGGTCCAATGCACCGGAATTCCACTTCTACTAAGAAAGCGAACTTGACCTATGCGACAAATTGCACAAACCACCAGGAGTTCAAGTCGACTGCATGTTTTGTATTGTTGTGCACAATTCAGTACTTTTATGCTTTCAGGGGCCAGTTAGTTGACCTTCAGGGGAAACGAATCTTGATTGGTCTGGATGGCAATTAATTCACAAACCGCAGGGTGATCAGAAGCGCCATTAGCCACTACTTCACCTCGAAAGCGCGCAGACACTCCAATACCTGGAGAAGAAAAAAGTGCAGATAGTGTGGTATAGGTTGTGGGATACTCTCTATATTTCCCCGTGGCAGCTTCTACCCTGAAGAAATGTTCGAGATACAAATTCCTTCGCCACATTCAATAGCAGTGCCGTGAAAGATTTTAAGTGATAATATCGGGATGCACATAGTTAATAGAGAAAGAAGAACAAAACTAAAAGCATCGAAAACGGCAATGGCGTACGCTTGATATGGTGAGATCTACAGTACCTCATGTACTTATTGGAACGATGCTTGAGCCGGCATTCAATTAAAAGCGAATTTCCCCATTCTGGTAGTTCCAACTCCCTAGACACTGTTCATTTTCCAAAAGAACGTTGCTCATACTTCTCTTCGGATTTCATGGAGGCTCATTTCGCGATATTGTGCATAAAATGCGAGACCCAATAATATCAAAAGGAATAGCCGGAAGAACTTCCTCGTCATAGATGAACTCGGTAGTGCCGAGTTGACAGGAATCAATCTGAAATCAGACTTTGAATTTAATACTTCAATACGGCATCGACAAACTTACATCTTCGAAGCTGTGAATTGGCCCAAAACATAGGGACACGGTTGTCATGACGAAGCAGATGACGTTGAAAGGCATGCTGAAGTCGGGTACTGGCAGAAGCAAGCAGCAGCACATTTCCATGCAATGTAATCCGTTCACCAACACTCTGCTCTGACCTGAACGATAATCTCTGCGATCTACGCCACAAAAGCAATTCGCAAAGCAAAAAATGATGGACTACTTCTTTAGTGGATGTATGTGGTATGCATTCAGACCAATCTCTGCTTGGTCCATCTAGTAAGAAGCCGAAACATCGCCAAGACATTTGCCCAGGCTTTATGTAGCCTTCTTGTTCACACTTAGAAATCGTTCAAAAAAGCTCTGGCGTGAAGTGCAAAAAAGTGGTACGAACTTTTGGGGCACCCTAATGTGTTAAGGTTTTCTACTAGAAGAGGAGTTTACGATAAAAAGGCAGCTCATCAGAATAAGTTAGAGATGGTCAGTGGTGCAGGATGAAGAAAAACCATGAGAAACGGCCCAGAACCCGAGAAATGGGACCCCTTCTTTGCCTTGATTTCCGCATTGATGCGACTCTCATCGGTGCTGCCCTCTTCAACGCTAACGCTCTCTCTGCTAAACAGCTAGAGTCAGACGACGAGGTAGGTGGGCGGGCTGCGGCGCGGGATGATCTGCTAGGCCGCTGGGGCATACCCTTCACTGCTGAACCCGCGTCGTCCCACACCCGTAAGGGGCTTATTCCTTGGCGATATGTAGCGCAGCGATCAAAATTCAAGAATTCAACTTTGCCTATTATTTGACCTCCCTTCCTTCGCTTACTTTCGCCGATTCTTTACCAATTTTCGAGGATGTGAAAAGCAAGTTATGAAATTTTTATTCTAGCTGCACCCACTCCTGTGTACGCAGACCATCAACACTTCGCCTTCCCTCCTTCGCGTTTCCTGACTACATTTCTTTAGCCTCGGGTCCGTCTCGGAACCGAATTAGGTGCTTCGTGGCAAATCTCGCCTACCTCGGTGCACCTTCCGCCCACCATCGTCATTGGACCTTTCCATTCTTGAAAGCCTATACACATTTACAACCCGATCTCCGGACACTCGAAACACAATAATTAGGCGCCATCGTAAACCCGCCCATTTCGGACGAGCCCCTCCCACCACTACCTCTTGGCCTTTATTCCACTACTAGCTTATATTCATTTTTCCCCGCCATCTGGGCCTTTTCGAAATCGAACAATGAGGACTTATGAAAAACCCTCGGTACTCGAACACGCGCTCTGCCTATTGTGAGTGGACGGCAGCTCCACTACAAATGTGCTTTGTACATCTTTTGAACCGCTCTTAGACATGGATTTTTTGCTGCTTCGCAGAGTTCATAATGAAGAGTTGTGAACTTCGAGTCGTATAACGGTTGCTGAACTTGCTGACAAGCATCGCTCAATCTCATGAGAACACCCCGCCCACTGCTGTGGCTTCTGTGATTTAGATGTTGCGAATGACGGAACAGATATTTACCTTTCTTCTCGGATGTGGGAACAGGGTCAACCCTATGTTGCTACAAGTAGCAACGGGGGGGTCGTATTTTGATGAGTTTGTAGAGGGGGAGTCGTATATTTTGATGAGTTTGTAGAGGGGGGGGGTCGTACTTGCTTCGATTGTAGTACTTGCTTCGATTGTAAGAAGTTGCATGAGATGAGTGAGGAGTGGCGCGGGAGAAAATTTGCCGTTTCAGCGCGCGTATATATACCCCCCCCCTCACCTCCGCCTCGACGGCATTTTTGGAGGAAAAGTGGGCGGGGTTTTGATGGAAGATGGAGATGGTGGAGGTAGGGAAAAGGGGTCGTATCAAATCCACCTTGGGGGAGGGGGGTCGTAAAAATTTTCGAAAAGTAGCAACGATAGGACCGACCCTGCTTGGAGTGAGCTTTCTGGAAATGAAATGGAAATTTCTGCCGTTGGCACCGCAGATTTTGGTGCACATCTCCCTTCACTGCGAGCGCTTTTCTCACGTATTTGACTTGGAAGTTAAAGCAACTCAACTTCGCAGTGAATTCTGGCTCTTCCAAAGCCTCATCACTAGTGCCTTTCTCGAAGGTGACAACAGCAGCCGGAACATACATGCCGTGATTGGCGTCAGGAGGATATTCGCGAATCCTGAAAGCTCACGATGATGATATATAGCACGACAGGTTTGCTTTTGTGAATTCCAAGAAATGACAGAAAAAACTTTGGTATAAAAAATATATTAATAAATACTGTTTTTTTATGAAACGTACAAATCAAACATAAATGGCTAAATGAAGGAACCTCAGGAAGGCCTTTTCAAACTCTATTTGAATTTGGCACTTTGATCTGCTGGGGAGGTCCAGATCCATTTCAATCAACGCCGGTCTTTTGCGGGATATAGAAGGAACAAAGTGACGCTGATGAATAGTAGGCACCTGAAAAATATACAAATCTTCTGAAGATTATTACGTTAAGAAAGATCTACTGAATCAAAGTGATTTTTTGAATTATGGCATCACTATAGGGAATTTCGTAGAATAACCACTTGGAAATCCAGTGTTTTACTGCGATGGAAGGTTCCATCGCAGTAAACACTGGATTCTCAAGTGGTTAAACAAAGAGCGCTATCAGGGTGGCATTAACGATAGAAAAATTGAAGTTGCGTTCGTTGATTGAATACGGAAATGAAGGAGAGTAACGAAAAAGTGAGAAAAGAAGTGAAAGTGAATGATCTTTTTCTACTGTATCCTTTTACCAATTACAAAAATCAAGAGCTGAACAGCGCGGATAAGAGGAGAACGAGCAAGTCAAGTTACACCTTCATAAAACCTTCATTTGAGTTGATTGACAAGATTAACAATTTTTCCCCACCCTTCTTGTTCAGGAGCAGAAAGAGGACACGGTAAAGAGAATTCGAGTGCTGGTCTACAATAGAATGAACTGAAGTGCAATAATGTGTTCTTGAGAACGACCCTAATCTCACACCCCAGTATAAAATATTTCAAATATGTGCGACAATATTCACAACTGTTTACCTGTTCATTTCCGTACTTCAGATCCGTACAAGTGACAGCAAGTGTGTGATAGTATATAAGCATGAACCATGGCAATTGATGAGTGTAAGTTATTCGTAGAGCTGCTCCTTCATTCTTGAGAATAGAAACCAAAACTCCACACTGCTGGTCTGTTCCTCCTATGAAGGACGACAGACTGCAATTGGACGAATTTGTGAGACGTTTTCAGATTTAATGAAGCTCTCACCTTAATGTACCCCCCTCTTCACTCGAGATAGGGCTGAATCCAGTTCCGTAAGAAGCAGATACGGTGAAAGATGAGTCCGAATTGTTTCTCTTGAGGTCATACACGCCGAAAGAGTTGCCAACAATTTGTGATGGTGGCGGCTCCAGATGTATACCCTGAAAATCCGGACAATCGGACGCTCACTCCTTTTTTGGCATTCCTGAAGTTTTGGAAAAAATGCTTTCGTTTTCTGTGCTCAATGCACTTTGCACTATTATCTGACACTGAAAACGCTTAGCATCCTCTAGGAATCTCCTGGTATGGGTTGATATGGAGGCACTTACGAGTACGAAACGTAAGGAGTGCCTATCCTACAAGTGGATAGAGCTGGCGAAGAGCTTCGAACACTATGCGCGTCATTTGCAAATGACCGTCTCTGGTACTCGTAGCGCACGTGTCAGGCACTTTCGTGCCGAACAGATATGATATTCTTGTTCAGCGCGTCAGAATACCCCTTTCCGAGGACTTTTGGTCCAAATCTAAAACTTTGACCTGAAGTTGAAAATCTGGGCACACATGACCGAGTTCGAGTCTTCGCAGTCTACCAGTTGCAGTCGCTGATGATTTAACATGAATGAGATTCCTTTGAACAATGTTCTCTAAAAAAGCAAAGCTGATAACTCGCCAAGAAGTCGATCTCACGACCTACTGTTCGTCGGCTCGGGCCGCTGCCACTGCACTATTCCGCTTCATAACTACGTTCAGAGAATCGTTCCGCAGATTTGGAGAGCAGATCCAAGATCAGCGTCCAAAAACACATCTAGCTGTTTATGTCTCGTTACAAATGGCCACTTCGACCTGGTATCCTTCCCTTGTTAGACCAGTACACTGTAAGATGGGGACAAGGAAGCATCAGAAAAAGCACAGCACAGC